AATTTTAAAAGTAAAATAAGTGAGGTGGTAGGAAATCAGGAAGTGGACTCTGTGGAGAGGCAAATGTGATCTAGGAAGGAGGGGAAATGAAAAAAGATCAAAATGTGACTTGTAATTATTATGTATCACAAAAACAGTAACCAAAAAGAAATGAACTGCAACCCAGGCCTCTGAGCATTCTTCTCACAGTATTTCAAGATTTGCGATCTCACACAACTGAATAATTGCTATGTATTTTTCAAAAAGGAAAGTGGGCTGTAGAAGCAATAGCTGGGATAAACTGCTGAGGACTTAGGGCTACAAAGACTTTATATATTAAAATTGTTTACAGAATATAAATGATTCAGATGTTTGGTGAAAGAAATTCAGAAATGAGCATTATGAAATAAAGCAGAGACTACCGACGGACTGAATTTACCAAGAACCCTGGCGAACACCCCAAACACCCGGAGGTCCCTTGGCGTGGACTGGCGGTGGGCCGAGCACCTGGAGAAAGTCCACAACCGTGAGAGACGAAGAGGGTAAAAGACGGCGCACACGGGCTAAAAACTAGGACCTGACGGTACCCTTCCGATCAGCAGCTGCGGCCACGTCCCCACCCTGTGTCCCTGCCCGGTGTCCCCTGTCTCCTGCTGTGACCAGCCCCCCCCTTGTCCCTGCCTGGTGTCCTCCCTTTGCTCCCCGTGTCCCCCACTGTGACCAGGCCCGTGTCCCTGCCCAATGTTCCCCCTGTGTCCCCTTGTGACCCCCGCTGTGACCAGAATCCCCATGTCTCTGCCTGGTGTCCCCCTTAGGTCCCCCCGTGTCCCCCACTATGACCAGATCCCAATGTCCCTGCCTGAGCTGAGGAGACTCAGAGCTGCACCCACTTCTTGCTCCTGATCACCCTACGTTGTCTGCATCCAGTGACAAGAAATGCTCGCCCAAGCCTGGTGGAATAGCAGTTATGGAAACAAAGGTGGGTATGTGCCCCCTAAGCCCCCGGAGAGAGCCGACGTAGACCTCTGTGCGGTCCGCGAGTGTCGCAGCCCTCACCCGGGCTGTGATCCTCACCGGCTGGGTGCGGCTCTCTCCTTCCCCCTAGCGGCAGGATGGTGCCACCGCGCTGCGCCTGCATCCTCTTCCTTCAGGATCCCAGGGCTCTTGCTTGGCACAACTTTCCCTACCCGCAAGACTCAATCTTTTGGGCTGTGGCAGTCTGGAATCCTGGGTTGAGTCAGTGCACGGGATGCCTGTAGAGAGCAGCACTGGCGGCCCAGTTCCCAGGCCAGGAGGCCCTGGCCTGAGCCTCCAGCTCCCCCGTCCCTGAGGAGGGACTCTTCAGAAGGACCAAGCAGGGGGACATGGGAAATGGGAGGGAGCCTCATGATGACAGGGGTGAGGGGAACCAGGAGAGAGGGAGGCAGTCTGAGTGTCTCCGGGACGAAGAGACCAGGACCTCCTACCATCCCACACGGACTGCCTAAGAAATCAGCACTGGCCACTTCAGAGATGCAAATCAGAGCAACGCTGGGATTCCACCTCACTCAAGGATGGCTATCATCACGAGCTCAGCAAGAAGAAGGAAACCTCGCACTGTTGGTGGGATGTCAGCTAGCACAAGCACTATGGAAACCAGTATGGAGACTCCTCAAAAAACTGAAAGCAGACATTCCATTTGACCCAGTTATTCCTCTTTGGGGCATCTTCTGGCAAGAGCTAAACCCATATTTCGGGGATGCACGCATACCCTTGTTTATAGTAGCACTACTCATAATTGCTCATAATAGCTAAGCCTCGTAAGTGGCCTATGCGCCCATCAGCAGATGAATGGATAAAGAAAGCATAATAGTTATACAAATGGAGTACTACTCAGCCATAAAGAAGGGCGACTTTGAGTCATGTGCAGGACATAGACGAATCTTAAGGCCATAATGATAAGTGCAATAAATCAGACGCCAAAGATTGAATTTTGCATGCATTTAATTTTGCATGAAATATAAATAAAAATGATTTAAAGAGCAAAATAAAAGACATGTTAGGAATCAAAGAGCTAGACTTTGTGGAGCTGGGAAGGGGGTCTGACAAGAGACAGGAGAGCGGGGAGTGAAAATGATTAAGATGCGTATATGTATCACTTCTCAAGTTTAATGTAATTAATGTTTATTGCAAACATATACTAATAAAAAAGGAAACTAATAAAAAAAAAAAGAATGCACAAGTGCAGTGGGGGATGTCTGCAGAATTCACAGCGGAGTGGGGTTTCGGATGCTGGGAGGCCTCTCTCCCACTTACTGAGCGGGACTCAGCCCAGGGCATGCTGGGAGGAGGGGCGGCTCCAGCCGAGTCCAGGGGACTTCCGAGAAATGCAAGAACAGTTTGCAGCTTTCTCCATGCTCCGTGTCCTCCTCTTTGTTTTCGTATTATTTTCTTTGTGATAACAGATTTCACCTACGAACCGCACGGCGTTTTGAAGGTGCAAGTACAAGTTGCACAGAAATGGAAGGTTCGAGTCTCTCCTGGCACTAAGAGAAGAAAATGCGGTTGCCGGTGCTCGGGACAGGAGTTTAGGTTCCCTGGGAAATCTCGTTTGGGTGTCGTCCCGTCTGCCCCACCCCAGCTGAGTCAGAACCGAGAGGCAGGAGCAGGCTGCACACCCAGGTTTCCTAGAAGCTGCCCCTGAGATCGGAGGGTGCGCCTCGGGCCGAGGATCGAGAGCAGCTGCATCAGCCTGTGGCACCCGGCCCGGGAGGGCAGAGGCCAGGCTGGAGACTGCGCCTGCTCCTCCCGGCCCGTCGGGCCA